ATGATCTCATTGGAAAATGAACCAAATATGTGAATTTCTGATTCCAGAAATGTCCAAATCTCATTACTGAGTAGAGGTTAAAAATATCAGCCGTGAACAAAAGCCAAAGCCACCCACTTTGCAGTAAAGGATCAAATAAAGCAAATGCTTTATTTACTATTTCACAAGATACAATATCCTAAAGAGTTAGAACTAACCGCACTTTGCATCTAATTGAGTGGAGTGGGCCCTTACTGAGATAATTCTAAAATCCCCAGAACATTTAACATCAAGATAAATGTGACTGTGGGAGCATGAGATGTGTGTTGTTCCTCTCTTCATTGTCAGCATCTCCCTTATGTGCTGTCACTCCAGTCTCTCAGACCTCTTCAATTGCGGAAGACCCAAGCAAATGTAATCTATGAAGCTCTAAACTCACATGACTCCCTCCTTTTGTAGAAAGCCACCTCTTAGAATCCAATCCCTCAAACTCCAACTTTCTACTATTTATTTAGTAATAAATTCTATCGTTTGAGATTAGCCAGTAAGGATGGCACAGTTTGTGTGTGATTGTAGCTATTATGTTCTAAAGAAGTCTCACATTGCAAAATATGAATTGTCTTGCACTCTTTCTTTTTGACCCAGGATACATCCTATAATGCTCTGAGACCTCAATTTTTCACTTAAAAGTAAATGCAACTTAGTTCTCAGGATGGGTATCAAGTTCAAAATGATCAAGTCACAGAAAGACAAAAGTCCAGAGATGTGAATGCCACATGTGAGAAGTCTTTCATAAAATAACAGTACTCTACAATCTGTACTATTGTTAATACTACTCTAACTCTAGCCAACTTTACATATTCCCTTCAGTAACTAATACTCCAGAAGGAAAATACAACTTCTAGCTACTTCTGGGCATTTCAGGAAACCTCAGAAGAAATCCTTCTCTTAATTTTTATTCTGTTTTCAGTAAGCCATGCTAAGCCACTAAAATCTATGGGAGTCACTGAGTAAAATTTACAAAGGAAAAAGTCAAAAGTATTTGCAAAGAAAGAAGTTGATAAAAAAAACTGAAGGTCAAATGTCTTTCCTAGTTATATTTTCATCTTTGCTCTGTGTCCGTATATTTAATTAACATCTTGAAAACAGAATAAAACCTTAAGATTAAGAGTGCTGTAGAAATTGTGAAATTTGAAAAACTTTTATGTAAATCTTCAGCAATTGTTGACTTAAAACAGCTATTACACTCAAGAAGCTAAGCCGAAGCAGTCAATACCTGCTGCTTGGGGTTTTCCTTTTGAAGACTTTTTCTTTTTGTTCACCCATTTTTAATAAAAGGATTTACCTGGCAAATCCAGCTTTAATCTGCGTGGATTATGTGTATGTGAAAAAACTTTCTAGAACACGGAAAAAGAAGAGAAATTTTTCAGAAAAATGATTTGCTTTGAGTAGTGGGAAAAGATTTTTAAAAATCTAAATCTAAGCACAGCCTTTCCAATACTAAAATATTCAAGAAATATCAGAAGCATAGATTCGGCCATGAGTAAAAAATGTCTGAAAGGCTGAGTCCACCAATTAATGGACACCAGTCAAAAGGGAGGCCAGTGAACAGAGACAGTGCATGTGGTGATGAAATACCTTTACTATTTGTGACATATTCATAACTTTGAAGAATATTACTAAAAATTTGTTTTGATGTGTTTTATATTTTTATAATAATAAAAAGACAAGTTATTTTGCTTCATTTCTATATCGGCTTTTAGGAAAAGTTTGCAAGCTCCTCTTTGGCTTATAGTATATAATGTCCAAAACATACTACAAATGCACACTTCAGGCAATTTACATGTAAATTATAATTATCTTAAGATAATTAGCTTCTGAAATCTTCATTTTCTTCATACTAAAAACTGCTATCACCTAGAAATTCTCATATTTTGATGTACAATAAAATTTTCATTACAAAAACATTGTTTTATCATTGGGGAAAGAAGGTAAAATCTCTAAGAGCCAATATGAAGTCACTTACAAATAATTTGATTAAACAAAGCTAATTAATTTTCCACTGGACTATTAGAAGTTCTAACATAAGCCAAACACTGTAGACAAAGATTAATTTGATAAGGTTGTCAGAAAAAGGATCTAGAGAAAAAGAATTTGGTAGTATCATTTCTAATTTAAAAAGTATTTTGTTTTGATCAGACAGATCTTTTATAGCCCAGACTGGCCTCCAATTGGCTATGTACCCTGAATTCTTGGTCCTCGTGTCTCCACTACCTAAGTGGTAGATTTACAGGCTTGAGCCACTATTCCTACTCCTTTTATATATGCAGGGAGAAGCATGAACTTTGTTAGATTTCGCAGATAATAAAATAAACCTTTGAGAAAATCATGATTGACAAGTTATTATAATCTGAATGACAATCCAGCTATTATGTGTATGCACTGAAGTTTATAAATGAGAATATGTCTTTTCAAAGAAAGGTTGATGCAATCTTGATTAGTAATCAAAAAGACAACATTTATCTCAAACACAGATCCCACTGTTCTCTCTCATGTGGCAGCATTATTTGAAGTGCTGAGTTTGGTTATACTGTGACTAGTAGTTTAAAAGAGACTTGGCAAGTAAGAATGCATTCAGAGGGACTATAAAAGATATATATTTGAAACTATGTAATGTAAAAATGACTCAAAATTATAGATTGTATGTTGGCTGAATAATTTGTCTTAGGTGGGACATGCTGACATATTGTGTTTTAGGTTAAACTGTTGACTTTGCCTAGTGTCATCTGAGAAAGGGATCATAACTGGCATGTGGGCATGTCTGTGAGTGATTGTCTTGACTGCTATTGATGTAACAGGGCCTAGTCCACTGTGGGTGACATCATTCCCTGGGTAGGTAGTCCTGTGCTGTGGAAGAAAGCTAGCTAAGCTTGAACTAGTAAGCTGGCTAACAGCATCCCTCCATGGTTTTTTGTTTGTTTTGTTTTGTTTTGTTTTGTTTTGTTTTTCAAGACAGGGTTTCTCTGTATAGCTTTGGAGCCTATCCTGGCACTCACTCTGGAGACCAGACTGCCCTGGAACTCACGGAGATCCGCCTACCTCTGCCTTCCGAGTGCTGGGATTAAAGGCGTGCACCACCAACGCCCGGCACCTCCATGGTTTTTACCCCAAGATTCTTCTTAAGCTCCTGCCCTGATTTCCCTCAATTATGAACAGTGATCTAGAGACACTAGCCAAACAAACTCTTTCTTCCTCTAAGTTGTTTTGGTCAGAGTATTTTAGCATAGCAACAGAAAGGAAACCAACATAGCTACAAATATCTGAGTATTAGTTAGAAGGAACATGAATTAACTTTAAGCTGTTGAAGGAGAACTAGAGCTAGAAGCTAGAAAGCAATAGTGAGGTAGACAAGAAAATATTCAATATCCAATACTATGGTCTAGTGACTGAGCTTCTCTTAGCATTATCCATACTGAGGACAGGAGGTGGGATAGTAGCTGGGAACATGTAGGTAATGGAAAGAAATGACCAACTACTATACAAAAATTAAGATGGTTCTTACTGTGCCTAGCATATTTAACTCATTGTTAATGGATTATTTCAGAGTTATACAATTAACATAAAAGACATGTATTATGGTCCTACTGTGTGCAGATACTCAGTTAAGAAAATAAAAGTAGAAAAACAAAAGTCTCTGGATTTTTATTTTCATTACCTGTGATGATATGGATAATAAACAAAGAAACAGGTTATGTATCAGGATGCAGGGACAAGAGTACATAAGAAGAGACACAGAAATGTAAAATTTTAATAAAGATCAGGAAACCTACACCAAGAAAGTAATATTTTAGAAAGAGGCATTAATTTCCTTAGCATTTTTAGAATTAATTTTATTATGACATCCAATAGAAAAGATGACAACATTAATGAAATACTATATAAGCTGAATGCCATTTCATCACAATGCCATAGGTTATATTGGATACCCCTAAAAGTTGTGTGGTTATCTCAAAATATGTTTGTAAATGGGTTCTAAAAGAGCTAATTCTCTGAAATACAGTCCTTAAGGTAGTTTAAACCCAGTATCAGTGGTGATTCTAGGGATTCCCTTTGGGTAAAAGGAGAAGCTGGCACACACCAGCAATAAAAAGGGAAGACATTGTGATGACATGGGCAGAAGACAGATATCCCTGAGGCCTCAGTAGACATCAACTTTATCTCATCCTTCTACACCCATATACAGGAAGAAATATACTTCAATTGTTTCCACCACTTCATCTGTAGTACCTCATTATGGGAACCTAAGCAAACACACAAGGAATTTGCCAGCACTATATTAACACTGCATAAATATAAAAGATTGCATTAGCTTGAGTATTAGAGCAATTCAAAATCTTTTATAAACTTCTATATTTAGAATTTACATAGAGAGGGTTTTTTCTTGTTGTTTTCCTGTGTTTACTTTTTTAAAATTGAATTTTGTTAGAAGTCAGAAACTGAATCCTATTACAACCTGGTAAAGAGTCATCAAAAATAACAAGGACTCCACACCTGTTGAGAGCATGCATTAAGGACTTTGTAAACTTTCAAGACCCAGGCAACACTTTTTTTCTATTAGGATGCATATAGTTCAACTTTATTAAATAGTTTGACAAAGTTCGACATGGCAACCCATAAGCTCTTAGAATGTGCCTATGCACTAGTAACAGCTAATCTCACAGGAACTCACTACCACATCAGTCAAATTTTCCACAGCAATTAACTACTGCCTCAGTCAAGTTTCCCACAATCGCCCAAAGAGCTTACTGCAGCATTGCAATGTATTTTGTAAAGGGGTCACCTACTGCTATAATAACTCTGCTGCAGCATAGAGAATAGTGAATGCATTTCAAGTATTCTTTATAAAAATAATGCTTATTTCTGTTCTTTGTGAATGTTATATTAGTGCTCTCTCTCCCCTACCATCCCCTTCTGTGTGTTTGTTATGGATTTAACAAAAACAAATAAATTAATATACTTACATGTTCTGTTAATTTAGATGTTTTCTCAAGATCTTCACCTTCCTCCATGAGAGTTTCTTCAGTCCCAGGTAAAGAATCTATTTTAATGTTTAAAAACAGAAGTTACACATTACCTCTGCATGATATATATGCAGACATATATGTATGTATATGTGGTGGTGAGAGGATATCAACAGAATTGAACTACTTATTCAAAGAGTCCCAATGTTTCTGAGTAGACTTTTGAATAGCATTTATTCAGCTTATAGATACATATGCAAATGAACATATTTATAATTCAGAAGTATGTAATAAAATCAAAAAGTACAAGAGTTAGTTCACTTAATTTTTACATATAAAGCAATACTTCAGCCAGGATAGATGGGACCAGTAGTTTAGAATGTGTATTCCATATTACCTCACAGACACTATGGCAGCAGGGCCTGCACAGGTCTAAGCCAGATAGGGTCCCAGGGCTGAGAGGAGAAGTTGTCACACCCTTAACTTAAAAGCTATCTCCAAGTGATAACTTCAAGCAAAGAAAAATCCGTTTTCCCTAACAAATCTCACTGGTTACACAAACTACACTGAAGGGCAGGCCTTATACCCAGCAGCAGATGACCAACACAAAATGAACTCAATGTATTTTTGCACTTTTGTTTGTTTATTTGTTTGTTTCATAATGTCTGGGCATTTTTTTAACCCTACGGGTCTTTTACTTATTTATTATTGTTTTTGATATTTTGAATTTATGAAATTTCTGTGTATGAAAATGTGTATTTCTCTGTGTCTGTATGTGTTTCTTGTACTTTTTTGGCTCCTTCTCTTTCTGTTTGTTTTGTCCTAGTCAGTTCAGGTTTGTTTGTTTTTCTTTTAGCTTTTTTCTTTTTCTGTCTTTTAGATGCCTGTTTGACTTTTAATGAGAGAGAACAACAAAGGGCAGTAAGGATCTTAGAGAAGTTGAGGAAGGGAAGACTATAATCAGAATATGTTCTATGAAAAAAATCTATTTTTAATTTTTAAAACAAAAGTGTTTGTGCTACTATCATAGAGGACCTGAGTTTGGTTCCAGCACCCACACCAGCTGGCTCACAACCACCTATAGCTACAGCTCCAGGGGATCCAGCAGTCTGTTTCGACCTCTGTTGGCAAATGCACTTAACATGCATATACCCACACACAGACACACACAATACACATATGATTAAAAGAAAAAATAAATATAAAATTGAGTTAACACTTTGGCATTTATTCAGCCAGATTTGGATACATATTTATCTTTAGTGTCTTTTTCCTGTTTTGCAATGCTATTCATCTTATTTCATGCTTTCTTTTAGTTGGGGAGACGGCTATACAACTTAAGTATCAATTCTATCTATTGCTGTTCTCTCTTAAATCAGATGACAAATTGTGAAGGAATCAATATGGGTGCAAATTATTAAATGGTGAAGATCTTTTAATTTTTTATTAATTAATCAAGTAATTAATTTTTCCCAGCTGGATCAGTTTCCTCTCCCTCCTTTCCTCCCAGTCCCTCCCCACACCCTCATCCTCCCCCATCTACTCCCTCTCCCTTCTCTTTTGAAAAGTGCAGACCTTCCATGTATACTTGGGATATCAACTTGCAGCAAGACTAGGCACTTCTTCTCCTATTAAGGCTGGATGAGGCAACCCAGCAGGAAGAAAGTGTCCCAACATCATGCAACAGAATCTAAGACAGCTTCCTTCCTCATTCCCTCTGCCAAGTGTACCGCAAGAAGTACAAGCCACATAATTGCAACACATGTGCAGAGGGCCCAAGTCAGTCACAAGCAAGTTCTCTGGTTGGCAGTGTTTCAATCTCATGAACTCCCATGAGCCCAGGTCAGTTGACTCTGTGTTTTCCTGTGGTGTTCTAGTTCCCTCTGGCTTCCATAATGCTCCCTTCCCTTCTTGCACAGGATTTCCTGAGGTCCCTCTAATGTATGGCTGTGGGTCTCTGCATCTGTTCCCATCAGTTGCTAGGTGAAACCTCTCTGAATGGTAGAGGTTTTTGTCTGTCTACTATATCAAGCAAGAAGTTTAGTGTAAATCTTAGAGATGTGGGTGAGTGGTGGCTTTCAATTACATTAATAACATGATGGGAACCCCTTCATATGGCTGTCAATTTAGGTTAATTAGTGCAGTGTAGAAAAATATGGTTGCTAAAGAATTTGACAATACTGATAATTATATGTTATATCTATAAGTAATCTATATCAAGTGCTGTCATCTTCCCTAGTTGAATTTGATTTCATAAATCAGTTTAGAGGAAAGTATTTTAGACCATTGGGTTTTATAAACTTGATTCTTACATTTATTAATATTAAGAGAGCCCTCATCAAAGAAGCTTCTCTTTAATAACAAATGGAGACCAATACAATAAACTGACACTAGATACAACACAAAGATCAACAGATCATAGGAAGCCATGCCCTAATGTACAAGCCTACATCACAGCTCCTGCATGTGTGGCTTGCGGAACATGGCAGAAGAGAGGTCTGAAAGAATTTAAGAGCCAGAATACCAGGGAGTTTAGTGTAAAACAATTTCTGCTAGAAATAGCTACATAAAAAAGACTGGAACAATGACAATATCAATAGACACTATAATGTGTAAGGGAGAAACTTTCATAGAATCCATTGCTAGACAAAGACCTATATAGACAATTATTGATAGCTGGGAGAAGAATAATTAGCCTCCCTCAGGGGTAAGTTCTCTTATTGATTACCAAATACAGAGTGATCCTCTCTGAAACCGTATATATACACACACAAAAAGACACTTTACAGCTTGTGTTTATATATTTTTAATACATATACAACAATATATAATAATAATAATAATCAAATAAAAATAATTAATTTCAAGGGAGGACATGAAAAGGGTTAGAATGAGTGTACCTGGAAGATGCTGGAGGTGGAAAGAGGGAAGTTTTTCTATTTTAATTTAAAATGTATTTTTTAAGCCATATGACTCCATACAGAAAAAAATCACTTAGACTCATGTACAAGTAGAGACATATTTTTCTAATGCATGAAATAAGTGCTCTGGGGGAGTAATTAGCATGTGAAAACTTCTAGTCCCTTATGGCCAAGGAGTAAGGAAACAATGGAAAACTTGGCACAAGTCCAAGGTTGTTGCTCATTGCATCTCTATCTCTGCTAACTCAGAGTGGTTCATTCAAGACAGACTAGGTGATTTCTTGGGCACAAGCTTATCTCTATATAAACATAGATAGTACTGCAGAACACAGAGTGCCCTCCACTATGATACTAACTCTGGGGAAAACATAAATTAAGATAATTTACCTTCAACACTTCTAAACAGAATAGAACTATTAAAAGTAGCATATTTTAGTTGATAAAATCAAGACGGATAATGGAAAAATGCACCAAGTTAAAAAAAAATAGCCATTCAATCTCAAAGAATACTTTGGCACCTACCTACTAAAACCAGCATCTCACAGTTTATAAGCTAGTATTGATAGACCCATTAAATCAGGATGAAAGTTGAACTTCATTTGCATCTTCTAAAATTAAGTTAAACTCTGCCCAGGGAAATAGGTAAGCTAACTCAATATCTCCACTTCTCCTTTCCACCAGGTGACTAAGCAGATCCTAGTGTAACACTCTGCTTTTTTCCTCCTGGGAACCCCATTTCCCCACCCCAGTTCATCCACATTCCTAATTGTTAGTTCCTAGTACCCAGGAACACATTCTTACTTGGGGTTCCACTGGCCACACCAACAAAGAACGAAAGGAATTTCCCATAAGGCAACACAGAGACATCACATTCTTCTAAGTACTAGAGAGAAAACAGAAACCAAGAGAGGAAAAAAAAAACATACACCCAAAGACAAGCCTAGATATCAGCAGTAGAATTAAAATCCCAACCCCAGGTGCTTAGATACCAGTGTAAAAACATAATCAATCAATAACAGCCAGAATGATATGTCTCCACTAAAGCTTTGCAACCCTAACATAATAGGCCCTGATTTCAAGTTGTACTACACAAGTTTAGTAATATAAACAGCATAGTATTGGCACAAAATAGACACATTGATCAATGGAATCAAATTGAAGGCACATAAATAAATCCACATGCCTAATTTTTGATAAAGAATCCAGAAAAACACATTAAGAAAAGAGCATCTTCAAGAAATGGTGCTTGTCAAACTGGATGGAGGCATGTAGAAGAATACAAATAGATTCATAATTATCACCCCACATAAAATTCAACTCCAAATGAATCATAGACTTTAACATAAAACCAGATACACTGAAGCTGTTGGAAGACAAAGTGGAGAATAGCTTTGAAATCATTGGCCCAGGAAAAGACATTCTGAAAAGAAAATCATAAGCACAGGCATTAAGATAAATAATTAATAAACAGGACCTTAAGAAAAAAAGAAGTTTCTGCACTGCAAAGGTCACAGTAATTTGGACAAAGCAACAGCCTGCCAAGTGGGAATTTTTTTTTACCAATTACACACCTGATTCAGGACTGATATCAAAAATATATAAAGAACTCAAGAAAATAAATACCCCCCTGAAAATTAATCCTATTTAAAAATAGAGTCCAGATCAAAATGGCTGAAAAAACTGAGAAAAAACTTTTAAAAAATATTCAACATTCTTAGCCATTAGAGAAATGAAAATCAAAACTACTTTGAGATTTCATCTTACATCTGTCAGGAGGGCTAAGATCAATAAAAACAAGTGACAGATCATGCTGGCAAGAATATGGGTAGACTAATGGAATCGAATTGAATACCCTGATATTAACCCACATACCTATGAACACTTGATTTTTTACAAAGAAGTTAAAGATTTACAATGAAAAAAGAAAGCATCTTCAACAAATGGTGCTGACATAAATGGATGCTGGAATGTAGAAGACTGCAGATAGATCCATAACTATCACCATGTGCAAAACTTCAGTCCAAATGGAGGAAAGACCTCAACATAAATCCAGTCACACTGAACCTCTTAGAAGAGAAAGTGGGAAATACCCTTGAATAAATTGGTACAGGAGATTGCTTCCTGAACATTATGCCTGTAGCACATAGTGTAGACAC